CACATTTGTCAATATCACCACACTCTCATCAAAGCCTCTAAGAATTGGGAAGCTAATGAGCTCACAGTAGCAGATGCAAGTTTTCCAAAATTCCAATTCTCACTTGAGAGCTTGAGTTTTATCATTGGCAACAAATTCTGTCAGTTATTTTCCTTGAAGTGACAAGTTAACTTCGGTCTTTTTTTTTTTTTTTTTAAGAAAAATGTCTGCCAAATATCCAATTCTGAATAACTGTTGTCCGTCTGTCAGTGGTTCTTTAAAGTAGAAATGATGTTGCATGAGAAAAGTGGCTAATTCGACTCACAAAGGCAATCATAAAAGTGCTTTTCCTTGAGCTGACCTAGGCCTCCTTGTGTAGACAGTGGAAATGCTTTCTGCACTTCCTGCTTCGTCATGCAGAATGTTCAAAAGATTGTGTTATTGCTTCATTAAGGACGATTTGACATGGAACTGGCTTTTTCTTTACCACGAGTGCGTGGCAGCAAATATGATCACTTAGTTCGGTTTAGTACCACTGATTTGATTCATGCTAAGGCCCTAACGGGTTTACCTACCCATGCTTTTGAACCATTAGAAGACATTTTAACCAGTAAAAAGGGCAAATAATGTCTTAATTTTATTATGAAAATAGTTTTGACTTCTTGGACCCTAGAAAGCTTCCTAGGGTCTCCCCCACCCAGAGCTTCCATGGAACATACCTTGAGAACTGCTGGTTTAGGTGCCAGAGTCATTCTCAGTGAATCTACATTGCGTGTTGGCTGGGAGGGTTGTACATCAAAATCTCCACGGAAACACTGACCTAACCTAATACTGTCACTGTAAAAATAAGAAATGGAGGAACAGCGAGATTTGTTTCAAGTCATGCAGCTCGACTGTGGTAGGGTCAGGATTCGTTCCTGGCTCTACTGACTCACATATGGTGGACACGTAAGCCTCTATCAAGTTAGGTCTCTCACACTTCGTAAACCTCTTATAACTCCCTGTCAGACTGCTATTGTGTGCCAGGTACAATGCTAGGTATTGAAGACAGGAAATCAAATGATATTTGCCTATTGGTTGGGGCCCATTGTCTAGGAAGCCTGGGGACAGGTACCTCAAAGGTTACAGGTGCAGCCGGTCATAAGGCAGGTAAATAGCAGGGACTCGGGAGCTCAGAGGAGGGGCGCTGGGATCTGACGGCAGCTCATAATGACCAGAGCTGGTGATTCTCAGGCTAAGTGGGGAAGGAAGAACAAAAGTTGGCCAGACTCTCCTTCCTGTCGGGGGAGAATCCGTGGGAAGGAAATGGCATGGCTGGTCACAGGGACTTGGGGCATCTTGAGGAATGAGGAGGGGAGGTGGCTGGAGGTGAGGAGTAGGGTGCAGGGGCTAGGTTGTATGTGTCAACCCAACAAGTCTGGAGTTTGTCACGCAAGCCTTTGGGAGCTGGAGCAGTGGGCTAGAGCGTTGGCTAGAATGACAAGCTGGGACTTCTTCTAAATACCAGGTGGTCACGACACCAGGACACCAGGTCATGGCACCATGTAACTCTCAGGGCCTCTTTTTCCCCAACTACACCTTGAGTCACATGGTTACACACAAGTTTGTAACAGGAATTCTCTACCTACCAGAAAGGAGCTTTTGAAGGAACGATTTCCCATGGCTTAGAATGGATCCCATTTTCTTGGCCTGAAACTTGCTACAACGTGCTATTTATTTTTCCTGTGGGCTTTATGGCTCACTCTGGACTCTTAGAAACCATTACCTCAGTTTTGTAACACTGAACAACGTTAAGATCTGTAATTTGCAATGTGTGGCCTTGCCAGACTGAATCCTAGAAAGTGTTTCTGAGCAGTGGTTTCCAAACCTGGAGAGTCATCTGAGGCAAGTGGTTAAATAAATATGGATTTCCAGGTACCACCTCCAGGGCCCAGGAATCTGTATGTTTATTTTGATCCCCAAGTTATTCTGGAATAGGCAGCCTGGCCCTGGTTTCCTGCCCAGTTATTTTGGGTATCGTGAGTTAAAACTAACTAAAAAGGAACACACATTTAATGGCTGAGTATTCCAGTTAAAAACTAATTTGTCAGATCTCCTGAATATGTGTATATATGGTCACCTCTGTGGTTGGCATTTTTCACATTACATGAAATACGCTCCTCTTTGTGTGAGTTGGAAACATCAACTTACTTCATTTCCCACAATGCTTCTCCAATCCCCAATCTCTTCAAAATGTTTTTTCTTTTCTTTTTCCTTTCCTTTCCTTTTTTTTTTTTTTTTTTTTTTTAGAGAGAGAGAGAGTGCAAGCAGGGTTGCGGGGAGGAGAGGGGTAAAGGGAGAGGGAGAGAGAAAGAATCCCAGACTCCCCATCGAGCGCATGAGCCCAACGACTTGGGGCTCAATCTCACAACCCTGAGATAATGACCTGAGCCAAAATCTAGAGTGGATGCTTAACCCACTGAGCCACCCAGATGCCCCTTCAAAATGTTTTGTGATGGCCATTTTTCTCTCTTTCCCTTCTTATCAGAGGTATTGCCATCTCATAGGGAGTCATCAATTGGTTTATTTATTTATTTATTTTTATTCTTGGTGAGCATATTGTTTCACTATAGCAGTTTGAATGACTGTATATTGCAAGTGTACATGGACTCTGTGGGAAGTGTTACATGCAAGATCACCGAGATCGACAAACAAGGCTGACAATTCCCGTGCAATCATAACAGTCTGGGCATGTCTGGCATTCCAGAAATGTGCAACATATATACAAACCAAATAAATATTTGACACTAAAGTGTTATCAGCTCAGCCTACAGGAAAGAAGAGGCTGCCAGACCCAGACAGGGAGGAATGGGTGGTCCCACCAGAAGCCTGAGAGGTGGCACAGAGCTTGTTACATTTTCAAGGGTCTTGGAGATGACATAATCCCTTTGGGGGCCTTCTGAATACATTATGATAACACGTTAGGCTTCAATATGGATCTTGCTCATCATGTTTCTATTTTACTCATAGGCATAGAAGCAGGGTCCAAGTTTTCACAAAGGCCCACAGGCCCGGCGGGAGTGGATGGAGGGTGATGACAACATGGCAGAGATCATCTCACTTAAGGGAGGGATGGTGGTTAACAGCATCCTTTGTCTGCCCCGGGCCCAACATCCAGCTTCTCTGAACAGCTGTGTCTGATGATACTTAGAGACCACTGTACGGACAGGGACCAAAATAGGAAGCTTGCAGGTGGAGAGAAACCCAGAGAGCTTCTAGCTCAGTGATGGTCATGTGCAGGGGCAAGGCCCCTGTAGGCTGTTTGAGAAGCTCTAGCAAATGCATGTGGGCTGGGGAGGGGAGCATAGATTTAAAAAAAAAAAAAAAGGTTAAGGAACACTGATCTTACCAACTACCTCCCTTACTTTACTGATAAGGAAGTCGAGGCCCAAAGAGAGAAAGTAATTTTCCCTCAGAGCTCATTAATAGCAGGGTTAGATTTGGAACCAGGGTGTCCTGCTTGCCAGCTGGGTCGCCCCCGGCACAGCATGGCACCTCTGTGCTCTTGCTATTATATCAGCTTCCCCCTGTGTCTGTGCGGAGGTTCTCATTCTCTCCTTTCACTCCTGTTACTCTCTCTCTTATCCTCATCAATACTCCTGTTGGAAATGTGGGACAAGTGTCATTCTCCCATTTAACAGTGAGGACGATAAAGTCCAGGGAGATAAAGGCATGGATAGCTCAGGAAAAAAAAAAAAAAAAGATTTAGGAATGAATAAGGATCTTCAAGTATTAGAGGGCTGGTATCTGGAGGTAGGAGCATCCCTGTCTGCACGTGCCCCGGGGGCAGATCCAGGACCCGGGAGAGGGACGGCAGGTGGCAAGTGCTAGAGATGGGGGGGCTTCAGAGCTCAGAACCCAAGACCCTCACGTGTCAGCTGGGGGATCCTGGCAAGACAACCTCTCTGAGCTTCCATTTCCTCCACAGTAAGTAAGATGATCACAAAGGATCTGTCATTGCCATGGCCAAAAGCAGATGCCCAATAAATAGAAGGTATTATCAGGGTCTAGAGGTAGGTGTTAGTTCATCATAAGAAAAAACCTTTCTATCAAAGAGAGCAGTCCGTAAATGAAATGTGCTGCCTTGCAGAGAAGTGAGCTTCCTGTCACTGGAAGCATTTAAGAAGAAACTAGAAGACTAGCAGTCAGAGGTAGTATAGAATGGAGAATTGGACAATTGGGAAATTTCATACTTCTCCCAATTCTGAAATTCTGTGCAGTGATCTGGGATAAACTCAAATGTTTTGTATTTTTTTCGGTTCTTCAAACATTCTCTCTGCTGCCTTGGAGCCTCTTCACTCTGTCCAGAATGCTTGGCTTTGCCTATCCATCCTTCAGTCTCAGAGGAACCTCCCTTTCTCGGGGAAGCACTCCCTGCCCAGCCTCCTGTCCTGACTTGATGGAATTGCTAACTGCAGTTGAATGGTTCACATAAGGAGCAAGCCAGGAGGGTAACTCCCAGGTGAAGCCACTTTTCACCGGGTTTGGCTAACTGTTAGAAGACTAAAGTCCACCCATAACTCCTAAAACATAGCTAACCATGTTTCAAAACAGTGAGATTCGCAAGCAGCTGTTCTCCTTGCTTCAGAGCATGAGGCTCTGGGACCTCTGAGTTCCATGTTCACTAGTGTGTGTTGGGTTCTTAACATGCGCCAAGCACAGTACCTCCTGCTGGGGCTTCAAAGATCAAAATAAGTCACAAGCCCATGCTCAAGGAGCACAGTCTAGGGGGGAAGACTAATAATCTTGATACCAACTAGGGAAACACATAGCCTACTGGGGATCCTTGAGAAGGGAGCTCTTGGCCCAAACTGGGGTCCAGGGAAGACTTCTTGGAGGAGTTGACACCTAAACACTCCATGGCCTCCCATTCCTGATGACCAAGAGTGTGATCTTATATCTTACTCAGTCAGTGGGTATATCCTGGAGGCAGAGCTCCAGTTAGTTGCTGGGTTTTCATTGCCCCTTGATTTCTCTTTCAGAGCCTCTGCAGAAGTGCAAGATGCCTTCATGACCTACACAGTGTATGATGACATCATCACCATTAAGCTCATCCAAGAGGCCTGCAAAGTTCTGGGTAAGGAGGAAGAGGGCTTGTTTTGGTGTCTTAGGGCTGTCGTACTGAAGTACAACCAGTTTCCATCATCCACAGTCGTTCTGTTAAGTCCCTGCGAACACTGAGTTAGCAATCCTGAGCCATTGCTCTGAGAAGGACAGGCTAGGTTCTGGAGAGACTTTGGTCACATTTTCATCAACCGATAACTATATACCCTTGTTTTGGGTGTTTCTGTTTCGAGATCCCTTATTTCATATATATTGTTATTAACATCGGACGTGTGGGCAGGAGCACTATAACTCATACCCGAAGGAAGCTTCTCTAACACACATCTTTTGTCTGAAAGGCACATCACACCCTTCTTGTATTTAGGAGCACTAGGCAGCACTTCAACATTGTTCTTGGGGCATTTTCAGCAGCACAATCACCCACAAAAAAGCACAAAAATGTAAAAACATAGCGCAAAGTGGATTGCAAAAAGGCCACTTAATTTAGAGTATGAGAAATGAGACAAGAACACAGAGTACTGCCTCATTTGACCTTTGCTAGAAACGTGTGTGTTGGGGGAGCTCCAAGTTTTTGCCACTGCACCTGCTCTTGAATGACTGCAAATGCTCTGTGGGACTGATTTTGGGCTTGCAGATTCGTTTTAATGAGTGGGTCAGTTTGCAGATATGGGATCTGCACATGATGAGGCTCGATGGTACCACAAATTGGGTACTTTAAAACAAGGGAAATCTATTCCCTCATAGGGAATAGGTCAGGGGGCTGGAAACCTGAAATCAAGGTGTCAGCAAGGCCATGCTCCCTGGAAGGCTCTAGGGAAGAGTCCTTCCTCTTGCAGGTTCTGGTGGTCCAGGTGCTCCCTGGGGCAGCATAACTCCACTCTCTGCTTCCATCTTCTCCCCGTGTGTCTATGTCTCTATGTCCAAATCTCCTTCTTCTTATATATAAGGACCCTGGTCGTATTGGATTTAGGGCCAACCCTAATCCAGTTATCCACCCTTTCCATTTGAGTAGCCTTAAGCTTCTCACAGTCAAAAATCGTGAGTGTCACTCTGAGTTTCATCATCTGTACCACCACTCTCATGGGTGGCCTTGATGATGGCCTTGACAGAGGTTGTAAGACCTTTGAAATGGATCATCATGATTACCTCTGGGTGTTGTGGGGAACAGCTTTGGGAATCCTCTGAGGCCAACCACACTCGTGTTTATCTGGAAATAGAGGTGGTGTGTTTTGTGGAGGTGTTGAGGGCCCTTCTTCCCCATCTGCTCTGCCATGGGATGTCTTCCCATCTATCCAGACATGAAAATGCCATTGACAGGGTCATAATGGGGGGCCCAATGTGGATGGTCCCACTTACAATGCACCTCTACTTCCAGGATGATTCCTCGCACAGATGTATCAGCAAGGGATGGTTTATTATATTAACTTGCTCACTCCCCAGGCCTGGATGGGAAGAGGTTCAGGACAAAGTGAGAATACAGTTCTGCCTCTTTCTAGTTTAATGACTGAGGACAAGTTACTTACTCAGTTATAGTTTTCTCATTGGTCTACGAGAATAATATCTACCTGTCAGAGTTATTTTGAGGATTAAATGAGATGATATATGCGAAAATGTCAAATGGGCTATCTGGCATAATAACGGCTTTCAAAATATATTTCTTCCTTTCTTTCTTTCTTTCTTTCTTTCTTTCTTTCTTTCTTTCTTTCTTTCTTTCTTTCTTTCTTTTCCTTCCTTCCTTCCTTCCTTCCTTCCTTCCTTCTCTCTATATTCATTTCCTATTTCTCAATAAGGTTCTACTTGGAGGTTCCAAGTGGACATGGATTTTGGAGGAACACTTCAAACCAGTCACCCTCCTTTCCTTTACCCTTCCTTCTCACCAGCACGGAGCACATAGTGAGCTGGGGCCTGGGGAGGAAGGAGTTTCTACTGTCCCAGGCTCCAGGGGGCTTGTGCAGGAAGGTGAGAGAGTCCCCCGGTGCTTCCAGGTTCTTTGATGACATCCCTCTTTAGGTCCCAGTTGAACTTCCTTTGCCTATTCTTATAGGCACTGTGGCTTTGGGTCATGTTGAGATGGCATCTGGGGATTACTGCAGGCAGACTCTGTGTCAGCATCCTCTGCCTGGCCCCCAAGACCCTGGGACAGAATTGTTGCAGGTGTGGGTAAGGCTCAGGAGCTCAGGGCCTTCAGGCTGGATCCGGTGCAGCCCCCAGGGGCTCAGGCAGCCGGGGCTGTGGTTTCCAGCTGTTTTTTCTGGAGTCTCTGAGGGCCCGGCAAGTGGCCTTCTGTCCTCAGGACCTCCTCCAAGGGTGGTCACAGGTAAAAGCCCGCCCCAGGCACGTAATAGTGCTGGAGAACGTACCAGGGCAGTTAGGTAACGCTAAGCCTGCAGACAGGTGGCTTCTCCAGAATGCAGATGTGTCAAGTGCTGATGTTGGACGAGGCCCTGAGTTTGTTTCTCTTTCCTCTGAATATCAGAGAAATTCTCTGATTAAAAAAAAAAATAAATTGTGCCAGCTTTAACCCCATGCCCATGATTTTCCCCTTGGTTCCACATGGCAGTTTGACACCCGTGTCTCTTCTCACGGTTTCCTGGTCATTTCCTGGATGCAGAAAACCTTTCAGGTGTCTGCATCGGGGAGAAGCCCCAAATCTCTGCAAAGCTGGGAGGGGGAAGCTTTTGAGGCTCAGGGAGCTGAGCTCCTGGTCACTTGCCAGCCACACCTCCTAACAGAACTAGACAAGGTTGTGTCTGAGACTGGACACCAGGTACAGGAATGAAACGTTCATTGGCTCCTTCAGCTCCTGGAGCTCGGGCTCCAAGGGCAGCAACATGTCCTGGACGCCTTCTAAAGCCAGTGCACAGCCTCGCTCTGCAGTGGTCCTCGGGAGGCAGGCAGAGGAGGAGGGCCGACAGGGCTCATGGGGTGTCCCAGAATCACAGCTGAACACCCACCACCACTCCCCCCTTCCAAAGAGCTTCACAGAGTTTCTAGGAAAAAGAGGGGCCAGGGTCTGGGTAGCATCAACGGCACCTGCGAACGCGCCTCCTCTACCCTGACTGACCTCTTTAGGGGCTCCTAGACCCCTTTGCCTCCCCAGCAGCGGATGCCAGGGGAAATTTATGCAGCGTTTGGGCTATCCCAAAGCGGGTAGAGTCAGGACTTCAGGAGGAGTCTGACCCCAGGTGTGTACTGTTTAGAGTGCTGTGCTGCCTGCCCTGGGCTGGGAGCCTGGAGACCCACCTTCTAGACCCAGTTCCCCGCGTAGGCAGCAGGCTTCTTGTCCTTCACGCAGCAGCTGGCCCGCTCCAGAGTGAGCCTCTCGGCCTTCTTGTTTAACACGCCTGCTGAAGAGATTATTTTCTTACACATTGCTTTTTAATATTTTAAAACATGTGATTATGGCATTATACATGCTTTTCAAAGCATGAGGGCAGACGCCTTCCTTATTCTGATTTGCTCATAGGCGAGGCCTGGCCCTTACCCAGTGCGGCAGGCCGGCCCTGACTCTGAGTGGGGGCTGCTGGGCGCTGGGCAGATCTGCGTGTAGAGGGGCCACCTTTCTCCCAGCTAAGTCGGGGGAGCGTCCGGTTCCTTTTCTCCCACAGAAAGAATAAAAATCACGAGGTGGGAGGTGACTCTAGACTTGACCCAAAAAGCTGGAGTTTTGACAGAGCTTAGGACATAAAAGAGCAACAGAGCTTGAACCGGATGGTGGGATAAAGCTTTCCTTCATTCTTTCCTTGATTTTCTTTCAAGGGATTGGGGCCCAAAGTAGGTGCTCAGCAAATGTCAAGTGAGTCTGACGGGGGTGGCAGAGGCATTTCTATGTTTGGTGTCTCTGGCTTTTGTCCCTTAGAAGTAGGGCTAAGCTTGGCTGTTCGCCTTAAACGGCTGTAGTATAATGTTATGGGCCCTCTGAGCAGTGACTGGTAAACCACACAGAGCCCATGGGCCAAATCTGGCTCCCTGCCTGTTTTTGTAAATAACATTTTATCGGAACTCAGCTGTGCCCATGTGTTTACATACTGTCTAGGGCTGCTCTTGTGCAGAGCTGAGGCACTGCAGCAGAGCCCTGGAAAACTGAAAATATTTACTATTTACCCTTTACAATTGTCACCGAATGCTCTGGAGAACGGATCTTCTTCAAGATTTTTTTAAATCCCTTTTTACTTGAGAACCGCTATGGACCAAATTATATTCAACCCCCACCACATTCCTATGTCGAAGCCCTAACCCCTGATGTGATGGTATTTGGAGATGGGGCCTTTGGGAGATAATTGGGTTCCCATGAGGTCATGAAGGTGGAATCTTACGATGGGAGTAGTGCCCTTATAGGAAGAGGTCTCAGACCACTGGCGCTCTCTCTCAGGAAGCATGGGCATGTAGTCTTTCTCTCTCTCTCTCTCTCTCTCACACACACACACACACACACACACAAATCCCCAGCCCCACATTGTGTGAGGACATGGTGAGAAGCCAGGAAGAGAACTCTCTCTAGAACCTGACCACATTGACACTTTAATCTTGCACTTCCGGCTTCCAGAATTCTGAATAAATAAATTTCTGTGGTTAAGCCCCCAGCTCATAGTATGTTGTTACAGCAGCCCGAGCGGACTGGTGCAGGAACTTGAGAAAGTTTTTTCAACTCCAGAAAGAACAATTTCCCGTGTCTAATATCACACCCAGGCCATTTGTAACCGTGTGTGATCATGAACACCGTTTGGGGTGGTCAGTACCATCAGCAGAGAGATGCCTTCCCATACCCACCCCTCATGCTTTCATAATTCCAGACCAACCAATACATTTGGAAGCAGCAATGATTTTATAGACTTTTGTAGATTTTATAGTGTGTGGGGCTTTCCACCAAAAGCCAAAGTCTATCACTGTGATTTCTAACTTCTTGTTGCTTATCCCAGTAGTATCTCTTGGCCTATACCTGAAGGGGTATATAAGTATGGTGAGTGCATTTTCAAATAAAAAGTTGGGATGTGGGATGCCTGGGTGGCTCAGTCAGTTAGCATCTGCCTTTGGCTCAGGTCATGATCTCGGGTCCTGGGATCGAGTCCCGCATCAGGCTCCTGGCTCAGTGGGAGCCTGCTTCTCCTGCTTGCTGCTCCCCCCGCTTGCACGCGCTCTCTTTCTCTCTCTCTCTCTCTAACAAACAAATAAATAAAATCTTTAAAAGAAAAAGGTGGGATGCAAAATTGAGTAAATAATGCATGCGTCTTGGAGTCAAGATGGCTCTGGGAAACATGGGCTGTAGGTTTCTCTCTCTCTCAATATATACATGCACATAAATATACACACACACACACATACACACTGATATATATATTCCATGAGTCAGAGAGCATGGCCCTGCCAGAAGGTAGTCCACAGGAAGGACATTTAATTGTTTAACAAAATACACTGGTCAGTTGAGACAAACTCTTCTCTCAGACAAAGAAAAAAGCTCGCTCAGTTACCACTAGTCAATGCTTTGCTTTCCAAGTGAGCTCCAGAATGTAATTTCCCTACCTTTAAGCAAATTGTTGGGACTTTTCCAGACCACTCTGCCACTGCATAGCTCTGTGCTTTCAATGAGCATAATTCAGGATGGGACCAGATGGCAGGTTAAGCATTGCATAAGGAATTGTCTGTGTATGAATAAGTGCCTACTTAGTGTGTAAGTGGGTTATTAGTGATCTGAAGTGACAAAATGCAAAACACTACACAACAGCCATTGGGCACAGCTGTGTCAGTCTAGACTTTGCTTGCTAAGAAACCAATAGTCAAACACGTTTCAACAGTTAGCTACTGGCGAATGCCAACGAGCCTTCTCGGCACTTGCCTCTTTTATAATAAGAGTAACAATGTAAAATTGACAGGGTCCCGAAATCAGGCATTATGACGTTTGATCTTTACCATGACCCTCTGAGGTGGGACCAGTAACCCTGGAAAGGTGACCACCTGAGGTTGAAGACTTGAACTCTGGCATGTGGACTCTGAGCCCGGTGCCCAAGCACACAGACTGGAGGAGAAGCTGACCGGTGGGCACGGGCTCTCTAGCAAGGATTTTGGGATCAGACAGACGGGGGTGAACCCCTGGCTGTACCGTCCCGTAATAACTAACACAACCTGGGCCAAACTCCCCATCGGTAAACAACCATGAAACCTATGGCCCTTATCTCAGAGGGCCCGTCCGAAAGATGAAGTACAGTAACATGAGCCAAGTACCTAACACAGAGCAGATACTCCACAAAGCTGACCCTCGCCCTGTCCCCCTCCCCCGGCCTTACCCAGGAGGCCACTGGTTGGGTCAAATGCTCTGTTCCAAGGTTTGCCGGGAAGCAGGCACCTTGTTACCTGCTTCATCGCTGCAGAGGGCCTCCCACCTGAGCTGGTGTGATCTATGGCCCAGCTTCTTTTTCTCTATGCCCTGGTAAACATACTGCTGCATCTGGACCCCGACCCTCCCAATTTAAAGTCTGTTTCTTCCTTGCAACCTATCGTACTCACATGGGTAGCTGTTTCCTGTTTTTTTTTTTTTTTTTTAAGATTTATTTTTTGAGAGAAAGAGAGGGGTGGAGGAGCGTGCACAGCATGAACATGAGCACCAGTGGGGTGAGTGGGGGAGGGGCAGAGGGAGAGGGAGGAGCCGATCCCCGCTGAGCAAAGAGACCGATATGGATGTGGGGCTGGATCCCAGGACCCTGGGATCATGACCTGAGCCAAAGGCAGATGCTTAACTACTTAACCGACTGAACCCCCCAGGCGCCCCCTCCTGCTTTTAAGCTCCTTCCTCCTACTTACAAAAGATTTCTCCTACCTATTATCTCGTACCTGGCTTAGGTGATATTATTTGAGAAGGAGAATATTCTAGATGAATGACTTTTCCAGATATCTGAAGTGTATTCCTTTGGATACATACCTTGGGGAAAAGTTACCCATTTTTGATGGAAAATTTTCTAAAATGTACTGCATATACATCCCTGTCTTGTGGGAGAACACATGCTTCTCTGGGCCCCTCAGGTGGGTCACTATGAGGAATAGCTCTTCTTCCCCGTATCTGGGTGATGGGAGGTGGGCCGGGGTCTTGGAGGGGCAACCCTGAGTGGGCCCTATGCCCATAAGGCCCAGCATAGGCAGCTGTGGCTCTGTGACATTCTTCTGCCTGTCAGCCCTCACTCAGGGGTTAGCAGGTATCCTGTCCCCCAGCCCTGGACAGCCCACCTCGGCTCTTTCCAGTCCCTTGAGCCGTCACCCAGGAAGAAGTCAACATTTCCTGGTGATGCTGAAGAGCCAGGCTTGTTGAGACAGAAAATTTGAGTTTAGACATCATTCCAATCGAAAAGCTACTTAAAAGGCTCCATATCTCTTCTGGGAAGCCAAGCACCTCGAAAATGGACACCTCCTGAGAGTGATTTTCCCGCCAACAAAGAAGCCTTCCATTAAAAAACAAAACAAAAAACCAAACAACCCTTTAAATAGAATGTCTCTCTCTCTCTCTTTCTCACACACACACATACACACGTAGAGAGAATTGTATACTCAAGCACTTGTGTCCCTCACCCAGCTTCAATAATTATTAATATTTCACCAATCTTGTTCCATCTCTCTGGTCCCTCCACCCCTTTTCTGGTTTTGTTTTTCCTGGAATATCTTAAAACAAATCTCAGGTTTCCCATAATTCTACCCATAAATATTTCAGTATGAGTCTCTAACAAGATAAAGACATTTTAAAACATAATCATAATGCCTTGATTATACCTAACAAAATTCATAATATTACAGAGGCCCAGAATCCAGCTGTCTCTCAGCTGGCCATGGAGAAATGTGGTCTTTGTGGTCTTTTTATATTAGATTTACTAAGGTCTTTTCAGGACAATCAGCAAAAACTTCTATTTTGACGTAATTTCAAACTCACAGGAGGTTTGCAAGAATAACACAAAGATTTCCCATATACTTTTCATCCATATTCCTCAAATGTTAGCATTTTACTATATTGGCTCTATCCTTCTCTCTGTTATCTATAATTTTTTTTCCTGAATCATTAATATGTTGCAGATATGATGTCTCAGCCCTAAAAATTCTCTTACATAACTACATTATAACTACCAAACTCAGGAAATGAACGTGTATGTAGGACTATTATGTAATCTACAGACGTTATTGAGATTTTTCCAGTTGTCCCCGTGACATCCCTTAGAACAAAAGAAAACCTTGGATCGTGGCAGTTGTCACATCTCTTCCGTCTTCTGACATCTGGAACAGTCCCTGGGTCTTTCTTTGGGTTTTATAACATTGCAATCTTTGGCAAGTTCTGGTCAGCTATTTTATAGAATGCCTCTCAACTCAGAATTATCTGATATTTCCTCTTGATTCAATTCACGTTTGCTTTCTTGGCAGGAAGACCACAGAAGTGATGTTTTGCCCTTCCCAGTTCATCATAGCAGGGGGCATATGATGTCCATCTGTCCCATTGTCCCGTTATTGGTGTTAACTTTGATTGCTTGGTTAAGGTGGGAACTGCCAGGTTTCTCTACCACATCGTTCCTGTCATTCCCTTTGTAATTAGTAGTTTGTGAGAAGATACTTTTAGACTATGCAAATATCTAGTTGCTTCTCAAACTCCTCCCTCCCCAGTTTTAGTACTCATCGGTGATTCTTGCCTGAAGCCATAATCACGGTGGTGGCCAAATGGTATATTGTTTCTTTTACATTTATTAGTTGGATTTCTACTGGGAAAGAAAGGATTTTCCCCTCCTTCCCATTTATTTATATCAATATGAACTCTTGATTATGATTTTTTAAATAGGTTGTGATCCTTTGATTTCATTATTTCTTTTGATGCTCAAATTCTCCAAGATTTAGCCAGTGGGAGCCCCTTTAAGCTGGTCCCATTGTCCTTTTGACACATCATCATTCTTTGATTATTTCTTTACTTTCTGGTGTGACTAGATGTTATAGGCTTGTCTTATCCTTTCTCTGCCCCAGCCCTGAAATCTACCATTTCTCCAAGTAGCCCTGAACACACACACATCCATCCATCCATCTAAAACCATGATGGGTCTTATTGTCTATTATGGTAGATTTGCTAATCTACCCCACAGACTTCATTCTGTTCTTTCCCTCTCCTTAACTGTAACTTCCTTCTCAGACAGTGAGGAACTTGTTCCCCATTTTCCACAATATATTTACTTATATGCTTAATCCTCAAATGTTCAGAAAGTCATTTCAGAATTGCTTACCAACACCATTGTGGGAAGGAAACCTACTAACCACAGTCAAATATTTATTTAAAGTTTGTTTGTTTTTGGGTTTAGCCTGAAGACAGAGCAGTGTAAATACTATGTTCAAATGTTACTGGGTTAATTTTTTTTCCTGGGTAATTAGATTATTCAGAACTGTTCTGTTCAAATACTATTCTGTTAATCTGTTTCTGTTTGTATTCTATCTCAGGGCTTTCCCTATCCTCATTGACTGGATTTGTTTTCTTTATTTTCAGTATATGAGTCATTAACATGATTCCCCAAACCAGAACTGTCCAAAAAATTATGCTCAGAGAAATGTCAGTCCCCCACCCTCCACAATTTTTCTAACCTTTCTGCCTCATTCCCACCAATGCCTGTAGGTAAGCAATCTCAATAGTCCTTGATTTATCCTTCCGGTGTTTCATTTTGCACAAATAAGCAGATAAATGCATATTTCCTTATATCCCGTGATTGGTTACACAAAAGATAGAATACTAAGCCTACTACAGATTCTCCTTTGCACTATCCAAACATATGTTAAGGCACCTATGGCTCTTTTAGTTTTCACATCTTCTTGCCATTTCCTATATATCCCTGACTCCCTGTGACTTAGAGAACTCACAGAATCCTAAATTCACTGAGCTGAAACTGTGTAACAACACAACACAGGCATTGGTCTTTAAAAGTTACCTTTGTCCTCTGCTAGGCAAGCATTCTCAACCAAGAATCCGAGAAGAAGCCCCAAACCCAGCACGGATGGAAGACGCCGCACCCAAACCCGAGATCCATGTTCAAGCAACCATTAGTCTCTGAACCAGCCGGCCTCTCCTATTAACAGAGCTGGGTGCCCAGGAACAAAATAACCAGGGTCTGGAAAAAGCATCTTCATGGATTTTTGTAGGTTTACAGATTTAAGAGAAAAGTCAAGCAGGTAGTCCTTCTACACAAGGCTGTCACTGTCACTTTGCTATACCTTGCTTGGCTTGCAGACAGCCCCGCCCTCCCGAGCGTGGTCCCCGGGCGAAGGAGGCCTCTGGGATCTGTGCTTTCCTGGCTGGTAACAGGATGCACCTGCTTAGCACTCTAGCCCGGGGGACGCACAGCACAGCTGTTTTTTCTCAGCTTGAATAAGCTAGATTTAGCAGGAAAGGAGGGGGCAGGGGGAAAGAGAAAAGAATGATTCCACACCTGTCCATGTACTTTTCAGGAGTTCTCCCAGGGACTCATAAGCAATGGAAAGGACTTGAGAGGAATTTATTTCAGTTCTTTGGGGCTTAGCATGTGGCTCGTGATTGCTATTATACACAAGTCTGCCTTCGTCCAGTTCGGGACAGACCCACAAGCAGAGAACGCAACAGAGGCAATTAACACAGGCCAGTCCCACCTTCCACTCTGCCGTCCCAAGCTTTGTCTAGATTCAGAAGACCTGGCTAGTGTATTTTTGGAATGTATGTATAACTCATCCCTGATAAGACCAGACCAACTCAGAACAGGAGTCTGTCCTGCTCAGATTGCAGAACAATTATCTGCCGAAGAGTCTGGGTGTGAACAATGAGTCGTAGGGAATCTGCTTCTCTGACCATCTCAGGAAGCAAGTAGAGGCTGGGAAGTGCCCAGACCTCCTCTGATCCCCTGCCCGCCCCCCCCCACCCCCTTGCAGGAATTGTTCTTAGATAGCGCAAGAGACCTGGAAACGCCTTGCTGTGAATTCCAGATCCAGCCAGAGCATCACAGGGCTCTTCAAGGATCCAGCCAGGGATTGTGGTGATGGTGAATTCCGCAGGTCTCCCGTGAGCTTGGGCATTCCAGACCTTGTCCCAGCCCCCGAGACCTACCAGAGTCACCACACCACAGTACATAAGAGAATGTTCTCTCACAGATGCGCCAGTCCACCAGCATCAAGGCATGCCCTGTCTCCCGTGTCAGTGATGACAACCCATAAGCAGTCTCACCCTGGAGGAGACCTCTTGTTTCTTTGCTGCTCCAGAGACTGTGGGATGTGGTATAGAAATCACTGAATTTAGGGCGCCTGGGTGGCTCAGTCGTTAAGCGTCTGCCTTCAGCTCAGTTCATGATCTCAGGGTCCTGGGATCCAGCCCTGCGTTGGGCTCCCTGCTCTGCAGGAAGCCTGCTTCTCCCTCTCCCTCTGCCTGCCGCTCGCCCTGCTTGTGCGCTCCCTCTCTCTGTCAAATAAATAAATAAAATCTTAAAAAAAAAAAAAAGAAATCGCTGAATTTAGAGTTAGAGCCTCTGCCTCTGGTTTGGGTCAGTTCACAAAGATGACTCAATTTCAAAAAGGGGACACCTCACCTGTAATAAAGGGGATGTGATAATGAGATTAGCTAGCTTACAAGGTTTTGGCAAGTGCCGAGCAAAATATTTGGTGATTTTGATTAATGAGTACTTAATAATTAATGAGTGTTTCAGGAACCATAAAATATTCTTTAACAAAGACTCCTGCCTCAATAAAGCAAACCATCACGTTCTGTCTATTGCAACAGCGCAGAGAGCGGTGGCAGCCCAAGCAAAGGACAAATCTACCCCCAGGTATTTATCAAGCACCTACTTCGTGTCTGGCACAGAAAATGTGTAGAATGAGGTCATTGCCCCTCAGAATTATCACATGGTTGGGAAGAAAATAAAATGCAACACTTAGGAAGAGTCCTCAGGGTGACATGGGATATTCAGAGAGATCTTTATGGAGGATGCGATGTGCAAAGTGCACCCCACGGGGAAACGGGGACGGGGAGAGGATGAGCAAGAAAGGGGAAGTCATTGCAAGCGTTTGGCATCATCAAGGTAAGTTTGTCAGTACTGTTTCTTAGTTGCGGTAGTAGTTCTTTCTCGGAGATTGCTTTTTATTTCACTTCAAGGCCATTGGATTAAAGATGTCTAGCTCTGGTAGAGGAGACTGCAGAGGGCCAGACACCGCCCCGCCCAGGGCGAAGCTCGTTCCGGGCGCCAGAGTCAGCCAGCATAGGGATTTGACAGCTTCCTGTCCCCTTCTGGACCGTAGAGGAATTGCCGCCGTGGGGGCCACAGAAAAGCCTGGGGTACGGTGAGGAGAAACTCGCGCTCAGTGCCAGGGCTGTACTCTTCCTCACGGTGGCACCACGCCAGAGACGTTATGGGCATCTTACTGCCCAGGAAGGTGAAACCTTTGGGAGCCGCTCAGTAACGTCTCACATAGGCAGGATTTGAACCCTTTGGAGATGAAGGAAGACCACCGGAATGAGAAGGAACACTTTGCCGGTGCTTTTATTTTGGGCCTATGCTTTGGGTTCCACAGGTGGGTCCATGGAAGCCATTCTGAAGCTCTTTGGAGAATACTTCTTTAAATTCTGTAAGAAGTCTGGCTACGACAGGATGTTACGTCCCTGGGAGGAAACCTCACGGAGTTTATTGAAAACCTGGATGCCCTCCACAGTTACCTCGCACTATCTTATCAGGTAAGGCTCTCTGAGGCTGGTCTTGGTGGCTCTAAGGGGAAGCAAACGCCTGAGGCAGTTCTGGGTCATTGCTCCCCACCCCCACCCCAGGAGGGGTGCAGGTGCAGGGGGCAGGCAGAAGCCTTGGTGCGCGGTGTCAGGAGTTCTCTGAGGGAAGGACTGGACAACGAACGCCTGTTGGCCGCTTTTATAAGCTGGCCGGCAGCTGTCAAAGAAGGACAAGCTGAAGAGGGCGGCTTTGTGACAGAGGGCAGCCTATTCCGATAGTCGCTGGTGTGGCTCTGGAATGAAATCTGGAAGATTGGGGCGCCTGGGTGGCTCAGTCATTAAGCGTCTGCCTTCAGCTCAGGTCAGGATCCCAGGGTCCTGGGATGGAGCCCCGCATCGGGCTCCCTGCTCGGCCAGGAGCCTGCTTCTCCCTCTCCCACTCCCCCTGCTTGTGTTCCCTCTCTAGCTGTCTCTCTCTCTCTGTCAAATAAATAAAACAAAATCTTTAAAAAAAAAAAATCTAGAAGATTGATCACAGTGGGAACAAAGGCAGGGAAACAATCGGGTTTCAGTGGATTTGCAAAATCGCTCCTCAGGTTTCCTGGCCTGGATGGAGCTGATAAATAGCTTCTGCAGCCAGATTCATTTTTTTCCTGTATCAGAAGGAAGGATGGGACAGGGCCAAGAGCCAGAGTTGGAAACCATCCCGCGCTGAGTAACCCATGGGGTGATTGCCCGAGAGGTTAAGAAACTAATTTCCCTATTGGGATATATCCTCCTCAAGTTCTTTCCTTGGTTTTCTTGCTTGTAGGCATCATTGGAAATTCAAATGCCTAGACTTCCTTTTCTTTTTTAGAAAGGAAAATGCTTCATTAAAAAGGCAAAATGGCATTCACACATTTTTTGATAATAGCTTATTTTATATAAAATTGTTTATATTTATTTTTAGGACTCTTTGTAGTTTACCAAGCTCTTTCTTCCCTATTTTTATATTGAATGTTCATAACCACCCTTGAGGGGTTGTCATGAGGATAGAATGGGAATATATAAATGCGAAAGTGCCTCCTCAACCATAATGCACCCTTATGCGTGTTCAATGGGAAAATTAGTATTTTCTCAGTTTTTCACATAAGGAATAAGAAGCTTGGAAACCTTAACTGACTTCAAGTAGGATGAGTAGGTGGGTCTATCCTGTGGTTATCATGTGAACTACTCAAGGGCAGAGGGAATAGAAGGAGCTCCGGCTATGGGGTCAGATGGGCCTACCGTGCTGTCTGACCAGCTTACTAGCTGTGTGGTGCTCTCTCTGGACCTCGAGTTTTTCACTTATTCATTTAATAAATATGTATTAAGCATCTACTCGGTGCCAAGCCCTTTTTGTAGGCATTGGGCAAACACAGAGACAAAAAGGAATAAATAGGAAAAAAAAGCCCTATCTCATATTATTGTGTGAATTATAAGAGATCACAGTGGAAGTCCCTAGCATCGTGATCAGTCTAGAAAAGGCATTTCATAAATAATAAAAACTTCCTTCTTTTCCCTCTTCTCTCTGTTCAATATGGCCAGTTTAAAAATGACAATAATTTATATGGCAACTTCCTTTAAAATTTCTTAGCTAAAGCACGGCAATTAGGATACAAAGAAATACAGTTGGGCCCCTTCAATAATCTCCCATAAGATTTTTTATTTTATTTTATTTTTTTAAGTTTTTTATATTTTCTTTTTTTTTTTTTTTAAGATTTTATTTATTTATTTGACAGAGAGAGACACAGTGAGACAGGGCACACAAATGGGGGAGTGGGAGAAGGAGAAGCAGTCTTCCTGCAGAGCAGGAGCCTGATGCGGGGCTTGATCCCAGGACCCTGGGATCATGACCTGAGCCGAAGGCAGGTGCTTAATGACTGAGCCACCCAGGCGTCCCTCCCATGAGATTTTTTAATATAGCATCTTTCAGCTGAAAATTTGGCTAATACTTCAAGTCACAGTTCTGGAGGATGTTAATGTTCTCCCATTCATTCATTAAACCAAAAAAATATTATGCTCCAGATACTGTAGTCACCATATTACTTCCTCTCTAATTACTGAATAAGGGTGGATAGGATTGAGGGTCTGAAGTCCCAGCCCATTGTTTGTACACCCAACTCCTATCTTTCCTCTGGGGGTAGTCATCTGTCATTCCTTCACGTGCCAAAACCCATGCTAAAGGATAGAACTTCTCAGGGGCACCTGGGTGGCTCAGTCGGTTAAGTGTCTGATTCTTGATTTTGGCTCAGGTCATGATCTCAGGGTCGTGAGATCGAGCCCTGCGTCAGGGTCTGTGCTCAGAGGGGCGTCTGCTTGAGATTTTCTCTCTCCCTCTGCCTGTGGCCCTTCCCCACTTGTGCGCGTGCTCTCTCTCTCAAAATAAATAAATAAAATCTTAAAAAAAAAAAAGAATAGAACTTCTCAGGGTGTAAGTGAGGATATTTTGCACATGATGAGGTGAATAAAATATATAAATGTTATCATATGCAAGTTGTAATAAAATACATGCAGTGATACCTGATAGCTAGCTATAGAGCTTTATACTGGGCAGAACATTATAGATTGTGTCTCTAGGCAAAAGTCAGATAAGACAATGCTGACTTTTCTTTACGTCTGCGTCCAGTGTTCTGTCAGCGCCTTAAGGCATACATTTCTGATTATAGCTATGCCGTTAATCTTGTTTTTTTAGCTAACTTTCATTGGGTGCTAATTATGAGGCAGATGTTGGGCTGAGTAATTTATAAACATTGAATTGTCCTCCTTACACCCCTAAGATGAGGTATTCTTATTCTCATGATGTAGATGAGAAAACAGGTCCAGAGAGGTCAAATAATCACCCCAAGTTGCCAGGTCGTGGTGGCCGAGCCAGGATGCAACCCCACAGAAGCCTGTCTCCCAAAGACCATGCTCTGGTCTGCTTCCCATTGTTTTCCCTTTGCCCTGATTCTCTACTTTCATAAAAGCCTATTTTAATCAAGAAATAAAAGTATAATCTTACTATTCAGAGAGTTGGATAGACTGACTAGAAGAACTAAAAACACAGACTTTGAGAAGTGTCTCTGGGAAGTGGCTTAGGCTGGGGGTGAGGGGTGAGAGT